TGCTGAACAAAAAGAACATAAAGGCTCGTCTCAGTTTTGCCAGAAAACATCTTGATGATCCCCAAGATTTTTGGGAAAATACTCTGTAATACTTCTAAAACTTTTTTGAAGGTGTGTGTCCCATTACATCTGGCTTAAAAGTAACACAGCATTTCAGAAAAGGAACATCATACCAACAGTAAAATATGGTGGTGGTAGTGCGATGGTCTGGGGCTGTTTTGCTGCTTCAGGACCTGGAAGACTTGCTGTGGTAAATGGAACCATGAATTCTGCTGTCTACCAAAAAATCCTGAAGGAGAATATCCGGCCATCTGTTCATGACCTCAAGCTGAAGCGCACTTGGGTTCTGCAGCAGGACAATGATCCAAAACACACCAGCAAGTCCACCTCTGAATGGCTTAAGAAAAACAAAACTTTGGACTTTGGAGTGGCCTAGTCAATGTCCTGACCTGAATCCGATTGAGATGTTGTGGCATGACCTTAAAAAAAGCGGTTAAGGCTCGAAAACCCTCCAATGTGGCTGCATTACAACAATTCTGCAAAGATGAGTGGGCCAAAATTCCTCCACAGCGCTGTAAAAGACTCATTGCCAGTTATCGCAAACGCTTGATTGCAGTTCTTGCTGCTAAGGGTGGCCCAACCAGTTATTAGGTTTATGGGGCAATCACTTTTTCACACAGGGCCATGTAGGTTTGGATTTTTTTTCCACTTAATAATAAAAGCCTTCATTTAAAAACTGCATTTTGTGTTTACTTGTGTTATCTTTTTCTAATATTTCAATTTGTTTGATGATCTGAAACATTTCAGTGTGACAAACATGCAAAAAAATAAGAAATCAGGAAGGGGGCAAACACTTTTTCACACCACTGTATAGATGAATGGGAAAAACATCCACTAAATGAATATACTAAATTATGTCACACTAATGTGTATAGTTCAGTGGGTTGTCAATTTCAATATACTTCTATATACTGCACATGTACAGTACATGACAAGTACTGACATGGATGAGTTGTTAAATGATGTTTATAACAAGTCTGAGAGGAATGACAAGACCCAAGCCTCAGGTGTAAGTAATCTGTTATCAATCAAGATGTCATCTTCTCACCAAAAACATTATTAATGGTATACTTAAATCCCCATTCTCTCCCTTGCATCTGTCTTTTTTATCCCACCCCCACCCCATCGCCAACCTTTGCAGCTAACCCTTGGTCACTCCTCACTCCATATGGGGATCCTACGCTGAAGATGTTAGCCCTCAGCCAAGTGGGTTAAGCTAATTTTATAGTGACTTAAACATTCAAACCATTTAATAAGCTTAATATCTGAGTGTTGGTATTCGTAGTGAATCCTAGTAATAGTTCAACTGTGTTGGCTTCTTAGCTAATAAAGTACACAGTTCAAATTCTATCAACCTCTATAGCCAGACATCCATTAATATTACATTAATTAATGTGAATTCTGATTTCGAACTTCGGATCTGCTAGCAGTTGTCAATATACTAAGTAGTAATGACAACGAAATATGCAAAGTATTGTCAGCACATTTCAGCAAAGAAATCACAGAAATTGCTGCCTCCTCCGTGAACTCCTGCCATTTTCCACTTAGAGTCCATCCTCTTTAGTGTGTCCTTTGCAATACTGAAGTAAGTGGCTTATTATCTACCTTCCTGCTGGGTTTGCAGGTAACAAAACTTCTTCTGGCCCCCTGTTGGATTAATGGAAATTTGATAAGGCAGGCAGTGAGTTCATGTGACCTTTCTTTGGAACCTGCTTGTTTGCTGTATGCACTACCAACTGTGAGAAGGTGGGATAACCTTTTCATTATAGAACAGCTGGGAACTTGACATCTCTCCTATTTTCTTCAGCCCAACTGTGACAATCTATTTGCAAAAGAAAAGCTTTATTCCTGAATAGCTTAGTACATTATTGTTCATGTATTGTGATCCACAAAGTAATGGTGGGTATTCTACTTTCTAATGGCATATAGCTTTGGAGGAAGGTTTTTTGTTCCTCTGAAATTAGATAGACCATTGCATCACCTGATGTGTAGATGACAAAACATGCCTGAAATTTTGCATTTCATCATATGATTAATCCAGTTATTACCAGCAGCCAATATGCATTTATGTCACAAACTAGACATCCTTTTTTGCATCAGTGATTGCAGTGAAGATTAACTGTTCTAAATCTTGATCTAGGTGGTGCCTTGAAGATGACACTTAGATTGCCATCAAAATGACAGAGCCAGTGTTTTTCGTCTTTCTTGTTTGTGTTGTTAAAGAAAGAAAGGGATTTCCAACGGGTTTATTTTTTTCTAATCACACAAAAGCTCAAAATTATACATCTGGTTATGCAGAAAACTTATCTGTAGGTCTGCAAAAAACATTTTCATCTACTCTACATCAGAGCGAATATGTTTGTACAGTACCTGTATGATATTTTTCCTGTTTCACCAAAAACATCTTTTGGGAACTTGAGCCATATCTTATGACTTTATGGACTTCATATTCCACATATGTACGTGGGGTAAATCATGGAGCAAAAAGCATTGATACATATTCTGTAACAGCATTATAGTCCAAATGCTGTTTAGTGCTGTTGACTTGCAATGCTTAATATTATGTTCAATTTTAACTAATTGTTTTTTTTACTTTACTTTAACAATGCACTGCATCTGTACACACAACTATTTAGATTACCTACAGCTCATGTAACATAGATGTTAATTTGAAGCTAGACTTTATCCCTTTTTGATCTTTATCTTTTCCTAATAAATAGAACTGTCGTGTCTCCTAGAGCTCTCCCTATTAAAGTCAGTACATTCCTTGAGAATGGAACCTTTTCCATATAGGTTTAAGTCCATAAAATATTGTAACAGTTACTCTACTCAAAGTCAAAAGTTAAAAGAGGTGGAAAAAAGCAGCAGATTCTTACTCTCTTTTATTGGCAGAGCTCAAGCTCAAGTGCACCCATAATTATTTGAATTGGTTCATGTAGATAAAGGCAGGATAAACATTTAACAATGAGTGCTGGACATTTTTACTCTAGTGCTTATTTATACATTCTACCTCAATGACAATACTGTTGTATGTGCTTCTTTCATATTCCGCACATTTATACATTGAATTTCAAAGGAAATTTAATATTTCAAACTCCCTGTCAAGTGTTATGGCCACCTGAAGAGTTTTTGTTTTATTGCTTTTGTATTATTAACGTTAGCCTGAGCTTTGTTTATTGCAAATAGTAGATGCGATGTAACAGTGTTTTTTATTTTCCTTAATCTATGCTCTCCTCCCCAGACATGTTGCACCACACTCAAATGGAGACATGTCTTGTTGTAATTTGTGGGAAAGACATCATACAGTATGGCCCCAAATGAATGGAGGTGGAGAAGATGCAGCAGGGTTTTTGACTTTTGACGGGATACCAAATGAACAATTGTTAACTGTAGTTTTTATCTTTTTAGAAGAACATGACCATAGCCCTATAATTTGATGTACTCGCAGTGAATCACCTGGATAAACCATTCCACATACAGATATAGCCTTTGACCTGATGTAAGTGGTGTTTTTCAAAATAAGGGAAAGTGCTGACAGGTGGAAGAACACAGACTCCAAAATGTCAGCTGCCATTAGCAAAGAAATGGTTTTAATCAGATGAGATAGGCTTCAGAGTCTGTTCAGAGCCATCCACCTTTCTGCCTGAATGCATGAGAAACCCACAGCCTGTGGTCCACAGCATGTGAGCAGGAGTAATTGTTCCAGTTTAACCAGCATTAACCTCCAAATACAAGGCACTCTCTTCATCTGATACAGGATGAGGTGTGATCTAGCCATTGAATGTATAAACAAATAGAAAGGATACACATACTGAAATCTCAATCCCTCTTACTCATACTGTAGATATCAGGTTAAGCCAGAATGTCCTCAAATTGAGGGCTCTACCTACAACTACAACCCATGCCTGGAATGGCATGGGATTGAGAGGGCACCTTTTTTCTTGTAAAAAAGTGAGCATAGGAAAGCTATATTTAATCTAAACTGAAAAGTCTCCACTGAGGCTTCACTAGAAGGCACTCTACAGACAGATGTAACCATACAGATGCTGTAGTATTTTTAATAGGTAAACAAACTACATTCCTACATGCTCTACATGTAGATTCACAAACTACAAGCTCACAATTTGAAGAGAGCACAGAGCATACAGTCACGCAATGAGGAATCAAACAAATGACAGGCCAATTGATTGAACTGTTGTAATGTAGCAATAACATTGAATGGATACCGGAACTCCCGAAAGCAAATAATAGCTTCAATGTGCAGTGTGGCATCTAACGTAGCATATAAATGTTACAAGAACTTGATACATTTTAATGTAAGGTAATGAAAATAATGTTATAAACATGCTCAGCTGGTATCTAGCAACCATTCAGTGCATAGCACAACAATTTGCATCTGTCTAGAAGTAACATTGTATTGAATGTTACTTGTGTGAGTTGTGGATGATTGTTGCGGAATATTTCATCTACAGGTTAAAACAGGCACTGGAATTCCACAAGATGATCATTGACAATTGAACTATGTAGAATATAATATTGTAATCTAGAATATTAGTATAATTGATGTTTTAAATCAATTATAAATGTTTATGACTTCCTTTTTACAGCAGGTTTAGTAAAGCTGAACACTTTTTAGTGGACTTACCTGGTTTATTTAAGTTAAAAACTTGCAGTGTGTTTAGATATGATGTATCGTAAAAAAAAAACAAAACAATATTTAATTCATTAATCAAACAACGGAGACTTGAAGAATTGTGATATTGTCCTGTATAAACCATATGCTGTCTTTTGTCTATGATGATGAACATTGCCAAAGCCGGACTTGAACCCGACAGTAGTCTGTTGGTCTTTACTCTTCTCTGCTTCCACATTACTCTGCTCTCAAAAGACAGAACTTAAAATGATCTTTAAAGAGATACATTTTGGAAAGCTTTGCTTACGAAGGCATGTGTTATTTGTGAAGAACTCCACAAACTTGTCACACTCCTCTTTATTGTTCCCACTGCCGCTACAGTCACACCAGGGCGACACGCTGATTTGACTGGATCTCAGGTAGTTCGGAGTCATGACAGTGCCTGGAAGAGACAGGAGCAACCAGACTATATTAGATCTTCTGATGCAAATAAATTATCCTGTTAATGAAGAGAGACAGAATCATCATATTGGTATACAGGAACACAGAACTCTTCAGCTCAAATATCCCTGTGCAATTTTGTTTTTCATTAGTCACTGCAGTTGCAAAGCATGAAACTTCTATCCATCCATTTTCTAAGCATTCAGGGTGGCAGGGGAGCTGGAAGCAGCAGACGCAAGGCAAAATACACCCAGGACAGGATGCCAGTACAGTCACAAATACAGATGTGCACACACTCTCAAAAGACTTGCAAAAGACATGGTGTATCTAAGACTGTAACAGTTTTTTTGCAAACAGTGAAAAAACGTTCATGATAAACTGTAATTTATCTCTGACTAAAAAGTGAAGAGACTGAATGAGAACACCCCATCAAGAACACTGACTGAGCTTACAAGTACAGTATCTGTTTCAGTAAAGTATATGCAAATGTATTTTTGTTAAAATCTTCCATTTGAGTTCATGTTTAACCACCCCATTAGTCATTTCTAGATTACCAGGGGTGGTTGAAATCATTAATAATTGTGATTACGATGATCTGACAGTTTTTAAACATTTATTAGCATACACAATGTGACTGCGACTTTTGACCAAGTGATCAAATGTTCTAGCTCACATCATAGAAACATAAGCCATCTAAGCAAATGGCAGAATTATACAGACTTTCTACTTCTTTTATCTTTCAAAGAACAGTTTTTGCAAAACATTTAAAACACACATTTTAAGAACAGTTGTCATTGTGAAAACCTGTGTATTCATACTATAAATGTTCCACCTACAGTAAAAGTCCAACATCTTTTAACTGCAATTTTCTTGAAATTTTATGCTATCTTTGCAAATAGCCAAATGGCTAAGACTTTTCTGCAGCACTTATAATGAGGCTCAAGCTGGAGTCGGAGCTGCTGGAGTGGAACTTCTCCAGAGCTGTTCCGGAACTTGGAGCAAGGCAACCTAGAGGAGGAACTGGGGTTCTTAATTGGCTCTGAAGCCAGGCTGGAGCTGGAGCTGACCTGCCAGAGCCAGCAAATCCCAAGCAATGCCAAACCTAAACCCTGCCGTGAAACTTATTAATTACTGTTAATTACTGTATTTTGTTGTGTAGCCAAGCTACCAATGGGAACTACACTTTTCTTAGTTTTTACCGTCTAATTAGTCATATAAAGAACTAAAAAAACACAAAGAACTAATAAAATAAAATGGTGTTTAGATGTTAAATGTCTGGTTGATATGGAAACTTTTGGTACACAATTTCCTTAATTTTCTTTTTAGTATGACGACATCATAATTGCAACCTCTCCAAACTTAAAAAATATATATTTCCACTATCAAGAAGTAACAGCAAGACTCAGTATGTATACTGTATACTAAGTGACATTTACATTTATTTATTTACCGGACACTTTTGTCCAAAGTGACAGTTACATAACCATTCATGTCAATTTTAATTCTGCTGACATTTATTTAGACTATATTTCACAACAGACCTCTACCTCAGAAATTACCTGACAGTCCTAATTTCTTCTTGCTAATCTCTAGGATCAATCATATTTTTCGATTACTTTCATGGTGTCTAACACTGTTGAATCATTCTACACCCATAGAGCAGGGCTCCCAAGGTCTAATTTCATGGGCAGCAGGTTTAAATCATCAGTGCCATAAGGTCTCAGAAATAGGCTTAAATTAGATCAGCTGAGGCTTACTTGGGCCAATTAACCAATCTTGCACAGGCCTGATGTGACTGACAATTTAGGGAGACCTACAAAAGACTTTCTGGACAGTTTCCTCCCCAAGGATTGTACTGCCACAGAGAATCAAGTGAATTCTGAAATGGAAAAATGCAATCTGACTCCACAGTGTGGCTGGGGTTTTTCATCTCAGCTGGTTAATGAAGCTTTTGAACGTGTAAACACAGGAGGTTTTGAGAAGGTCTTACCAATGAGGCCTGAGTAAGACAAGAGGCAGTCAGCATAGTTCTCCTTCAAGCAGCCACTCAGAGACCTTGGCTCCGGCTGGCAGTTTGTGAAGAAATCTGCAAGGCGTGACCTACACACAAAATGTAATTTTGCAATCATTAGGCATCATTTTTCATTTTTCACAAAATATTTTTTTTAAATCACCAGGCGTCCTTTCATTGAAATTAGTTTTGGTAAGAAAAAAAATACATTTGGAATGTTTTGATGGTTTTGGTGCTAGTTTTGTATGAATTCAAGGATCTAATCAACTGCTTTCTGAATGATTCCAGGGAAAGAGTTTAAGCAATGTGTTTTTGTGAAAACCTGTGTGTCCTCTTTTCTACCTAGCATGCATTTCGACTTTCCATTCCGGTTTTGGATTCCCTGTTGTACTTAAGGTAGTTGTGAATGAAGATTAATGCCTGTTAATACTGGGTGAATCTGTAAACTTCATGAAAGGGGTATATAGTATATAATTCAGATTAATTTTCAATATATCTATAAATCAATCCATAAATTAATTGTGCATGTGGTACCTGTTCTCACGGTTAATCAATGATTATAAATGTTTATGCATGTTAAGTCTGTACTGAGCATCAAAATGATCCCTATGCATGTACTTATATTTTTAGAAAACTGAACAGTAATCTTGGATCTTGGATATTGATTAAATGTTCATTGTGTTATTTCAATTAATTGTTCATTCAGGAGTGAGTGTTGAATAAGGTTGCTCACGTGAGAATTTTTTTTCTTGCGAGGTGGGACTGTGACAATTGTGCCTAGATGCCTTGCTCACCAGGCATTGAGGCCCATTGAACATCAGGCCACATGAGCTGGGATGTCATGTTGCTTTTAGGTCTCAGAGACCAGTGAACAGTCACATACTTGGTAAACCCTATGAGAGGAGTAAGATGAAAGATGATACACATAGCTGTATATGCAACCTGATGCAAAGCATAAGATGCAGATGTACTGCTTGTAATATTTTCAAAGGTGACCACACAGGTACTAGTCTAGTAGACTCCCTCTCGATAACAAATGTTCATTGGTAAAATGAATTTACTCATGTCATGTATGTTCAATACTATGCCAGTGCACCTGCTTCAGGAAAATATCAGTAAAATTAAGCTTAATGAATTTGTTAAAAATATATTAAACATTATAGTGACTGTGAGAGTTCAAGATACTGTATATTGTATATATTTACAAAATCTTCTGCAAACCTTTCAAAAGTCTGATTAATGTAGAAACCCTGTGAGTTCTAGCTGAATGCAAATACTGTACATCATGTGTTTTTAAGTCACAAACAAAGCTTTCATAATTAAACAACCATTTGTTTTAGGTCAAATGTTCAGGGGCAAATATAGTTTGTAGTTAAGAAAGATCGTTTTTATTTAAATCTTGTGTACAACATAAACACTTGCTTTTGTAGTGTTTTGTAGTCATTTGTAGTATAATAGTAGAACTTACTGTAAACAATATATACGCACATAACATCAAACTAGTCACACTTCTATTTTACTCAGAAATATGAATTTTGCAATTCAAGATAATTGCATTAAGTATTAAGGGACAGGTGTTTCAGAAGTATTGTGTTAATCTCACAAAAAACAGAGAAATAAAATAATACTGGGCAATCTATTTTAACTAGATTTGAACTAATATTTAATATAGTCAATGGTGTTGAATTTAAATGGGTTTTTGATGTAGAAATTGTTTTTGGCCTGAGAAAGCAGCTCACCAATTTCCATAAAAGTGTCAGAAGTGCAGAATTAGCATGTTGATGGAAAGGCCGATTTGTTAGAACACTGAAGTCCTGGTTGTTTAATATCCTTGTACTCTTAGGGCCCTAGAGCTGAAGAGCTCTCGAAGATGCACTGCAATCACTATAGAGTGTTTGATTATAGAAGCTCCACCCTTTCCATGCTGGTATAATACCATTTTCTCATTTGTTAAAATTTTCTTTCAGCAAAACTCACAAAATAGATTATTCTGACTTACCCATCAGTACCTATTTTCTTTTTTTAGCAGAGATTCTTACCTTCTATTAGGTTTTGCAGGCTGTACTGCGATAATACAACTGAAACACCTTTCTCTGTAGTCTAAAATAGCATCGTCCCTGTTACACCACATGATGCCAAGTTTGGCTTTCAACGGTCATGTTTAGGCTTTCATAAATTCTGGAACTTTTAAGATCCTCTTCAACAACTTTAGCCTTTATCTAACATGGCGGGCCAATGGAAATTAAGATGATGCCTAGCTTTCTTATTTTCACTGCCAGAGTGTAGCAGTTGTTGAATTTCCATGCTATCATGTTGAAAGAACCTCAAGGCTACAATCCAAATTACTTTGGACTTTCCAAATTATTTTTCTACTAATGCTTTTTTTTAATCCCTCACATAATTGTACTTGGAAGTTTTCCACCGGCTTAGCATTAATCATCTGATGAAACTGAATTTTTTGTTTAGTTTCAATACTGTAGTTTGAAATATCATATCCCAGATGTTTGTGTATAGTATATGTACATTCTTACCTGTTTGTATTTATAGACTACAGCTCTGTCAAGCATATTGCTATAATACATTTTCATTTGGAAACCCACATTTCTTCCTTCAATTTGACCCCCCTCCAAAAACTGCATTTTTTATGATTTTCAAACTTTAACACCTTAAAGTACCTCTACAAATGACAAACTGCTCAGGTGTTAGAATACCATTTAGACAGTCTAAATGACTTTTCATCATGTCTTATGATTTTTGTGTCGGGTATGGTGGGGTCCTACCAGGTTATAAAATAACCTTTTTTTAAAATAATTGCAAGCTTTTAAATATCCAAACAATAACTTTACATATTTAAAAAAGCAATGTGTTTAATTTTCATGCAGATTGGTGCAGCTATTAAGCTTTCTATATGGGCATGGATTAGCTGTTTCCTAGTAAACATTTTAGCTGTGTCAGCATGGTGTGCCCCTGGTAAGGCTTCTGAAAATGACACATTCATCATTCCTGACATTGCTAAAGAGCCCTTTAAGTAACATTCAGAGCAGCTTTGAAATGTTTTGCCTTCATAAAAGAAAGAAGGCGGTTTACTAGACAGGATGTCTGTCTCAATTTCAGGAGATATAAAGAACTACAGTTAGCTTTGTAGAATGTAAGATTGCTTTTGTTTGAGTAATATGGTTTAATGCTATAGGAAGGAACTTGGGATGGAGTGAACTCACTGACATCTGCATTAATGGGGTTCAAATGTTTGTCACATTGGTTTCCATCATTCAGAAAACATCAGATGATGGGTCCCCTTAGTATAAATACAGTACTGTATAACATTGTCCCTGAAAGATTCTTTGTAAGAGTTGTAAGAGACTGACTGCAAATAAAGCAGATTGGCTATTGTGCAAAGTAGAATCAATTCATGTTTGCTGTTACAGTTACAGTCTAATTGAGAGAAAAACATGTATATTAAAGATTTAGTGTCTTGCAACATAATGCATGAAAGATAATAGCAAATCTGGAGATATTTTAATTTTTTAATAAGATTTCAAACTTGATTATTTTCTTAACAAGTATTAGTTCTTGGCTTAGAACTCTTACTATAGCTATGAATGGCCTTTGCAGTTCATGACTTTACATGTACATATTACATTTAAGAGTTAACCTCTTTTTACCATTAAACCTTAAAGGTGAAAAATAATTAAACCTCATGCTATAATGGATATTTAATTTATATGTTCTTCACTTGTGGGTGCTGATCTGTACATCTTTTATATTCCAGCATGTATTGTTTTCGCTTAGTAAATTAAAGTTCCTAAATCTGAAAATTGAATCTGGAAGATGCTTTGAGATCCAAAATAAACTAGATTTCTTTGAAAGTGCTGTAAATCTTGGTTATCGATGAGGCATTATTACATGTATAATAGCGATAATCAGAGTATGATCTATGTGCTATTACCCCGTAGCGCTCTCGGGTTCACGTGGGTATGCACCCTCGCCGCTCCCACCTAAGGTCGGCCCCCCACCACTGGGGACTTGAACCCGGGCCTCCGGCATCATTCAACAGGGACCCAGCCAGTTGAGCTAAAAATCTCCCGTCAGCCCAACGGCTGTGGTCTCTGCTATTCACAGGGAAGGGCGGTGACGTCACCGCGCTGATAAGCTGGCTCGCACAACCTGCAATGTCGGCCGTATGCGTTACACTCTCTGTAATCAGAGTATAATTGGGAAATGGAGTTGTTGGATGGTTCATTTGGTCTGAGACTGCTGCTATCACTGTCATGTTTTGTAGCGTGATCCCCTATGGACCTCAACTCAAAAATAGTATATTGCCAGTATAGTGAGTCATGGACACCTTCCCACCCACTGCAAATCCTTGTGCTGCCAGGAATTTCTGATAGCCATGCATGGAAGGAGAAATGCCAAACAGAAATAAAAGGATTTTGCATAACGTGTTAATTAGTAAAAAAGTTTTACTTTTCACAATAACATGTACAGTATAAACTTATAGATCTATCCATTTAATAGTCCTTATAAAAGTTTAAGGAAAACACCCTAACCCCAAACGTGGCATAGTTTTTAATATCCAACTAAGCTATTGGTCTATCTTTTTCTGCTCTTTTTTCCTAAGCTGCCCAATATCCCTGTGGAAATTGTAAAACCAAATCTTAAGTCATTTTCAGTGACTTGAAAAGCTTCCCACTCCCGTCTCATTAATCATGCCATGTCGGCAGCTATCTTACCTGCAGATGTAATTCGTCTTGCACGACACTTGCAAAGACAAGCAATTTGGTTTTTCCTTGTCCTCGTAAGAGCACACTGGAACGATGGTCTGCCTCCGACGCTCCGTGCAGGCTAACTGATCCACAGGGGGACAGGAACAGAACAGCATCCCATAGCTGTGTTTGGGAGGTACTTTGTCGAAGAACTGCCGAAGAGCCTTGTGGCACTTGCGCTTGTTGCACACCTCCGCCGTGGAGACCCGGCTGGTGCAGGGGCTGATGTACGCTGAGCGGTACTTTTTGCAGGTGTCATTCAGGTTGCAGGCCTTGGCAGCGTTCAGGCAGTTGTTCTCTTTTGTTACTGCTGGCTCTCCTGTGGAGGGAAAGGAAGTAAAAGGAAGTGTCATCGAGTCAACAAGACAGACAAGTGAATGGAGACAACTAATTCCCATCCACTGGAACTAGACTTTGCAGCACTGTCAGGTTCTCAATGCCTGTTATTTCATGCTGCTTCACTTTTTACCAAGAGTGTCACCAATAAGGCAAAGCTTAACATCTGGATTGCTACCATGTTGCATGAATATACCTGCCACTAGAAATGAGAAAAATACATAAAATGACCAATACAGGACCAGGGTATCAGCTTCAATAGCATAGCTGACTAGGTTGTTCCATACTCTCACAACCCTTTGGGTAAAGTGCCTCCAGTTCTTGGTTTTAAATACACTTCCATTCAGTTTTCACTTGCACCCTCTGGCTCATGTTTCACCATTCGTTCTGAAGAGTTGACTTTCTAACTGCAATTGAGGATTTTAAATACTTGTATCAGGTCCTCTTGTCATCTTCTCTGTTCAAGACTTAAGGGTTTAGTTCCTTGAGCCTGTCAGTGTTGGACATTCCCTTACTGTAGGTCCTGGCATGTACCGTATGTGGTTGCTCTTCTCTGAACTGATACCAGATCAGCATTATGATTTCTATAAAATGGTGACCAAAACTGCATAATATTGTAAACAAGGTCTTGCAATATATCCCTTGCTTTAAATTCTATGCTTTTAACTATATATTCTATAATTGTGTATAAATGTTTTTGCCTGGCCACATTATCTAGAAGATATAAATTATGTGCCAGCATAAGTCTTTTTCATAAATGTAATTGAAAAAAGTAAAGGTCTCAGTTAAAATGATTGATCAGTCTGAAAAGTCTTGAATTCTGTCCAGTTCAAATTCTTCCACAGAAAGTGATGATAAATATTTTAATCACTAAGTTAAATCACAAAGAAATATGCTTCATCTATCCTTGTTTAGTAACCCTGAGTCAAGCCTGCACCTGACCTAACAGACAATGGTTACAAAGAAAGATAGGATGGGATGCCAGTCTATCACAGGGCACATATGGAAATGCACATTCATTTGGGAGAAAAGAGATGCCAATCAATCAACCCAGACAATATAGACTTTGGGAAGAAAAGTGCCAGGTAAAAACCCATAAAACAACCTGCAAACTCCACTCAGGAGTACCTCCTTCAAATCATTTCTAACTTTTTGCTAAAGATGAAGTGAGGAAAAGTGGGTTATTACAGTCAAGATTAACTCTTCATTTATCCATTCCTCTTTCAAACTGGAAGATGATGATGATATTATGATGATGATGATGATGATGATGATTATTATTATTATTGTCATTATTATAACTTTATATTAAAGTATCTTCTCATAGCACTTAACATGATGTAAGTATGAGTTTTGAGTAGCTGTAAAAACATAAAAATATCTCCAGATTTGCTATCATCTTTCATGCATTATGTTGCATGAGGCCCCGACTAGCTCTGTTGGTGCAATGTCAACATCAGGCTTAGATATTGACAGAAATATTTGAATTCTAATATGAGGTACCTCATTAGAGTAGATTTAAAGATACTCTTGTACTGTAAGATATCTCCTGTTAAATATAAAAGAAGGCAGGAAATCTCCAGGCAACGATCCTACTGTACATTTACTGTAGGTTCATGTAATTCATACTGTAAGTTCATCTTGTGCGGAGCGGTGGCTCTGTGGCTAAGGATCTGCACCTGTGGCTGGATGGTTTTTCTTGCATCTCCAACCTGAGTTACACTGTCTACAAAAACAACTCTATGGGGATAGGCATCTGTGCAAGAGAAATATGGAGACAATATTCTTTATTGGCCTCCCAGGCTGCAGGATACAAAAGTTGTTTTAAGAACCATATGTTGAACCCAACCAGTCATGCTGACAGATGGATCAGAATTCAAAATTCAGTTGACAGGAGGCAGGCTGTCCCTTATATTAGCCCTGTTTTTTTCCTCAAAATAAATAGTCTTTCACTGCCCTGCACATGTGCGTTTATTATATATAATTTCATGGTCTTTGGAGATCAGCAGTGGTTCCTCTTTCCCACCCACGCTGTGATTTCTGAATCTTAATTTGGCAGAAGCCATCTGGATGACATGCACTTTGCGACTGACATATCTGTGAGGTTGAAAACCTTGAGCTCCAGTCTTATCTGTCTTTCCTGACAGACGGTCTGCGTAATAAATTAGTGTCACCAGTTCCTGGGTTCCTTCTCTAAGTCTTAGAGAAATAGATAGTTAAGACTGCATCCTCTAGTATTAAAAAAAAGATTAATTTACAAACAAAATCCTTTGGGGCGATTTTCCCACTGTTTTAGCAATTTGATTGATTATGTGGAATGATGTGTTTAGTTTCTCCTAGAATATGTTCAAAGCTTCCAGACGTGTGAGTCAGTTTAGCATGGAAATTATTCACCACTTGAGAGGGGATTAAAAACCTATATTTACTGGTGGGCACAAGTTTCTGACCATCTCCTATTTACAGTATATACATAAAATGACTTGATTTTTACCCTTAAATATTTGAAAAAAAATCCCAAACTGCAAAATCCTCTATAGTATTTTTCTTGTCTGGTCTGACTTACAGCAAACACTTTTAGCACAGTCCCTTCTGAGTAATCTCCTTGACAAACCCAGTGTTCATGAAGAAATTGATAACTTGTCAGTGCAAATAACTAACCAGCTAATAAATGGCTTGTGTATTTAAATTGACAGAAGGGAACAATTAAAAAAACAATTCTTATACAAATCCAGTTTGAATAGTCATCTGGAAGCTTTAGAAAGTTTCACAGGCGTGACGATTTAGCTGAATAAAGATAGGTCAGAAATTGAATCACCCATACTGCATAGCAAATCAAGCACAGATGAAAGGACTACTACTACTCAAAATTCCCTAAACAGCACAATTGCCTAAAGCAGATGCTGAAAAGGATCTGTAATGGTTATGAGTTTAATTGTCTGAATTAGAATTGTTTAACTGTCAAAATATTAAAAACAGCAAGTCACATATCAAGAATCCAACAGCTGCTTACAGGTTCTTTTGATGTGTACTTCCTTTGATGGTGCTGGTCATCTAATTTTAACATGTAATTATCAAACCCCAGATGCTATAATTTTGATTTTTGTTTAATATACATTACAGTACATTACTGTACTTTATTACTGCGCAGTTTTCAATAGTTTAGTAGGTGAGTAATGTGAGATCCAAGATTGGCCTTAACCTGCTTGGCTGAAGGAATGACAGTCTGGCCGTGAGAAAAAGGCTACTGAACTGCCCTGCAAAAAGTTGAAAGAGTCAAAGAGCTGCTGCTCTTTTTAATAGTAGAGATAGGAATAGATTTTTTACTGGTTTTTACATTGTGGTACTTTCACACCATGCTCACTTCAAAGTGATTGAAATCATATACGAGAATAAGTGCCAATCAATGAATTATTTTTTACTTTTTGTGTTATTTGCGTTATTTGTGTTCCTATTAAATACTTGCACAAGAATCAGAATGTGTCAAATGAGCTTTGCGTATTTCTCTGGAAAGCACAGTCCCTTTAGAAGATTATTTTTATATTATCTCTAAATCACAATGGGGTCCCTTTCACCTTGCTGACTGTATTGTCAATTGCATGAACAATCATCCCTTATTGACTGTTAATGAAAAAAGGTTACATATTGTACATGCAATCAACTAGCTCAGGTGTTTTAAGTATCGCGAAACCTTATCTGTAGATGTTGATTTGTAGTTTCTGTAGGTTTGCATTGCATGGGAGTGACAATGGCAACGTACTACTCTGGCAGTTGGGTAGGTTTTAACTTCCATAGTTTAGTTTGTGATTTTTTACTTCACTTTGTGACAGGGCAACAGTCAAACCGGAACCATATGAAGTCCTCTTTCAAACAGAGAGCAACTTTTCAAGTGACCTTAGCTTGTTTGGTTTCAGTGATATTACATGGTTTTTGCAGGTTTTGTAACCGCAGATGAAGTGAACTGACCTGCACTCTGCATCAAACATACCAAATGAGTAACTGGCAGACTGAAAGGATGGCTCTCTTAAAATTTTCAGTTTACAGAACATGGAGTCAGAGGAGTTGGGTGCAGTTTCATGAAACAGAATGATTTTACAGAAATAGTCGTGTCTCTTTATGCAATGCCCTTTTTATATCAAGTGTTTTACTCACATGTTTACACCTACAGTGTATACGGTATATCATCACCCCAATTTATCTGCAGTTTCAAAGCCTGCTCAGATTTTGTATTTTAATATTTCAAATTGCATACTCAAATGGTGCTGACATGGACAGAAATGTTACCCGTTGTCACAAGAAGTGGATTAACGTTTTTGCTCTTTGCTGTAGCTTAAAGATCACTTAGTCAAACTGCAGTGGGTCTGCAGTTTTATATTTTTCCATGTGCTTTCATTTAATAAAGAAATTGAAAAGCATCATGAGAAACTGCTTAGCTGCACTAACCTCAGAGCTTTGGGTTCTGTCCTTCTGCTATATCAATCTGACCTTCACTACACTTCTAATGAGCTGCTTGAGAATGGTAGATGGGCAGCAAAAGTGGTTCTTAATCAAAATGAATTTCCTTTTGCGATAATAAAGACTTTTGGAATGATATGATAGAGACAGCCATTCTTAACCATTTATAAATGTGTTTAGAGTATAAATGAGTTTTTATTAAGACTTTCCTGGATTCACACTGATCAAAGCAGGTTTTTCTGAGCAGCTGATATTATTTGCAATCCAGGGGAATACATTATACTGTATGTTGATTACCTGATCATCAATTACTCTCCCCATTTACAGTATATGTCAGTTTTGAAATAATTGTGCTAGCCACTACAGCCCTCAGTGAACAATGAAATCATCATGCAAGTTTTCTCTTAAAAACTTTATTTTCACAGTATTAGCTTGTGATACAAACTTTTGCAATAAGGTTTCAACCAAATATGTTCTTGTTGATAACACAACAAGCTCACAGGAAACCAGCTTGTCAGAGGAATTCCTGTT